TACGAATTGGAAAGAAAATACATGTTTCAAAGTCTTTAAAGTCTTAAAATTACTTCTTGAGCTTCATTCCGGTAGCAATTGTTTGCTAATGTAGTGGTAATTGAATCTTTTCCAAATATATCATGAAGAATCTCTAAATGCAACTTGTAAATAATTGCCATGTCATAGTTGCGGCTGTTTTATGCTAATATTGGCTCCTTGCCATTTTTTCTTTTTTACGCTGTTTATGCTTAGAATTCTCAGCTGTTTCTAGACAATTCATTAATGTTTAACTTGGCAAGTAAATGTGTATAAATGCAGAAGTAGCAATTATTTCTCAATACCATTATTATGCGTCCGAAAAGTATCGGATGCTTATGTGCAAGAGAAAAAACGAGTTGGTCACCAGATTGAAAAATAAAAATTCGTGCTACAAGAAATTATGTTATTTTCGTTTTAATAATTTATATTTTATTGTCAATATCGTATCATAAAAGTGTCAGTATCGTATGGTATAGCGGCGACTGTGAGAGAATATTTTAATGCTTTATAATTTATTCAAAGTATCAGTATTGTATAGTATAGCGGCCACTATGAGAGATAATAATCTGTGAGAGAAAACTTTAATACTGTACATTTTATTCGAAGCGTCAGTATTGCATTGTACTGTGAGAGAAAATAATTTTCAAGCGCAAATGTGTCGCTTGTAGAAAAAAGCAGAGAGGTAATAATTTTTTTTTCAGAAAAAAATAAGTGATGACAAAATTACACTTATTTGTTTATTTATTGCATATAATTTCTCAGTCACACTTCTTTCTTGCATATCTACGTTTCCTGATGTAGTGATGCTATATAAACGCTGGTAATACGATTGAACGTAATGCTCAGACATACATAGTATTTTTCAAGAAAAAGAGCAATTTATCTTGTCATTAAATATACGAAATGATTGGGAAATTCATCTATATATCAGTGAAAAAAGCGTTTAGATGTATAACTTTAAAATAGTTGGAGGAAATGCATCTGTGCTGAAAATTGCTTCTGTGTTTCCCGGCTACCCCATTATATTATAGCTCCATTGCAGTTTATTTATTTTGACAGAACCTCACGTCCATTAAACAGTTAAGAAGTAGGTCACAATGTGTGAAACAGTTACTGAAAGGAATAGTTAAGTTGTTTTCGCGTGTTTTAGGTAAGACTGGTTTCTGTCAATGTTTCAAGTTCAGCGATTAATTGCGAAGGCGGTGATTTTCCTCCATAGACGCCGCTATCGCATACAGGTAACAAAAGCAGATATGCTTACGCAATGTTATACGAAGCACGTTCAAATATACAGAGGAATTTCTAAGATAATCTTTATTTATTGAATACAGTGAAAAGACGTTAGACTATTTTTCTATGTAGTCGTCTGCCACTCACAATAAACTTTTTACAGCGGCCCGGAAGTTTCTAATTCTAGAAGAATAAAAGTCTTTATAACTACATGGTTGATTGTTCTTGCACAGCTTCAATACTTTCTCATTAGACTTAGTTCTCACTCCTAAAAATTTGTAACTTGTGATCTTTAACAAGAGTTTCTGCAATACCAATGCTTAAAGTTGCTTAGCCATTTCTGGACCACCAGCGGCTGAGCGGTAAAGTCACTGAACACTGGTAATTCGACCTGGATACTATTCCAGGCTGGGCTGGCTGTATGAGCGTTAACGTGGTTTGCTCTTTGTATGCCGTGGATACGACTTATTTTTCCTGAGAACGTCCTACACGAAGGCATTCCTTCCCTTAAGAAGATAGCTCTTGTGTGTTCTTTGCCGTAATCAAGCAAACCTAAACCAAACCTTTTTTTTTTTCAATGGTGGACACTTGCACATTGACCACGCCTAAGCCAGAAATGGTGGCCATTTTATTGTGGAGGCACCTAATAGGCGGCCACCGTTACCTCCTATGAAGTGAGAAGTAATTTTACATCCATGCCTTCTCCGGGATTTGAACCCGGGTATCGCAGTCACTGTACCGTCTGACCAAACCTACAGGTAAAACTACAGGTAGCTGCAGACACTAAACCAAACCTACAGGTAGCTGCAGACAGAAATGGGCGATACCAAACTTCACCATTGGTCGTGCAGGTGTAGTCTCGCGCTAGTTTTGAGGAACAGTACCTCAGGGTCGACCCGAGGGTCTGTCACTCCCCTTCCACAGCTTCTCGAGGACTTTAAGTTCGCTATGTATTTTGAGTGTCCTCTTATCGCACAGACATTATATAGTACTTACAAACGTCCGTGCCTCCTCCAAGATCGAGCCCGGGCCCATCAGTGCGGCATTCAGTGTCACTAACCACTATACGATCCGGGTGGCAAACTAAATGTTACATAGTAGGTAGGCACTAGCTATTTTCTGCTACGATGACTCTCCAGTCGATGAAATTTAGTGCATTAATGACAGTCAGTTTATCTTCTTTGGTTGAAATTCTCGGCCGATGATTGTCTGGTCCAAAATAAGATCTCATATCAGCCAGCGCTAAAAGGGATACAGTAATAAACGCTGTGAAAAGAGAGAGAGCACTTACTTTTGTTAAGTCTCGAATAAACCTGAGATGGAATGCCTTGTTCGTTAGCCAAAAATTTAATGATGATTCGTCGGGCAACACATTTCTTAATCTCTTCCTTTCGCATGATAATTACTACTAATAGGTATGGTGGAAAGATAAAGTGTTCAACAATTGACAAGTTCAGACATATGTATGTTTTCCCAGTGAATTATGATTATGGTGAACTCTTTACTAGAACAGAGCGTGAAAATTCCTGTTTAATACAACTTCCCTTTTATTTCAATAATACCTAAAGAAAGTAAGTTCGGACAATTATTTTATGATAAGTCAATAAATAATATGAACTAATAATACCTATCGTATTTTCAGTATTTAAAAAAAATTTAAATAATTATCATTGAGGCGAATGGTCAAAACCTTGCTTTGCTACTGCATTTGGTAAGTAATGCTATAAATAGTTACACTGTTATTCGTTTAAGGTATGTGCCTACCCTAAATTCGTCGTTTTGGTGAAAGGGCGAAATTGTTTTATTTATTTTATGGTTCCATATCTTTATTATTTGTTTCTACGATAACTAGAAGCAACTGTAGTAAAAAAATAAACGGAAGTGAATTTTGATGCCGGAAGTTGCATTACATGTCGTAAAATGTAACATAATTTAAACCCATTTTCTAATATTAACAATCTAAAGCTGTAACAGCAACACATCTTCCCTCTTCACTGTGTAATTCTTTGCTGATAAAATCCTACTGGAAGTGTTTACTTCCTCGTAGTAAGAATGGCGCGACGGGGGACCATTTCGTTTTGATATATTAATAAATTCAGTCACTCTCGTGTATTAATCAACTGAAGACATTAATAATATAACATTCACACGTAACTGTATAATATTCAGCAGTACAGATAAGCATAAATAATAATTACACAGTTACGGTCACTACGCTTTAGCGACGAATCTAACGAACGACAAATCTAAAGCTTGTTGCCAACGCAGGCACGAAGTAGAAATGAATCGACAGCTGGAATGAACAGGAAACTTAAAACAATAATGAGTGTTTTATAACCTTGAGACTATTTTATCTAAAGAACTTTATCAATTGAAAACATTGCTTTTGTGCACATTTCTGTATTTTTTAATTCAATATTTGGACTTTTACTAGAATAACCCATTAGCTTTAAAGTACATGGAATAGACAACGCGACTTTAGAAACGAAGCGCCATCTCTACAGCACAATTAGCCAGAAAGTGCTAAAAATGAAAATTAGTTAAGAATAAGTAAAGAGGCCTAACATAAAATAATGGCGAGTTTTAAAGGTTAAGTGCTACAAAATTTTTGTGCTGTATAAAATCTTAAAAAATGCTTTCTGAGAATTGTGTTTTTTCGTCCTTTGATTGCATTACGTTAATTTCTCAAAACGTATTAGAATTGAAATGAAATTTACCAAAATGTTTTATTCATCTTTAAGATGTTTCCGTAGAAAAATCTGACCTCTTTTTTTTAGTTATTGATTTATTGACAGTATTTTGAAAAAAGAGCATTTTTTTTCTTTTGTTTTAATTTTGAGTTTTGTACCAAGTTTTGATATTTCAAAAAATTTTATAAGTACGCAAATCTTTTTCTAAGAACACAGTAAGTATGTTATTTATAACTGTGTATGTTATCAAGTATATTCATTAAATCTATTATAGGAGACGAAATGAAAATTTCATTAAATTTTACTAAATATTGCCTATTTAAAAAATTAAGAAACTTCTATAAAATCCCATTTAAATTCATAGTTTTATATCCCATCTTACTCATAAACATGTGTGTTTAATTAAAATTTTATGAATTTAGAAAAAAGTGCTTCGTATGTTGTCACAAACATTAAAGAAAGATGTGTTAAAACCATTTTCATGCAGAGATGCAGCGGGCACAGAATCTTTGCAGATTACAAATTCAAATCGTCCGCTTATTTTATTTATTTATTTTTTGGAGGAGGGTCAGTATGTGACCGAATATTTTCCGATATTATTATTGGTGAGGGGAATCCGCGGGGGGGGGGTGGAGTCGCGCAGTGGTCTCATCATTTAAGAATGTGTAAGCGATACAAGCTAATTAACTCTAAATAGTAGTTATGAGTTTATTAAATCGGCTTCCTAAATTTTAGTGATTATTTCCTAAAATGGATGAGAAATTAATATTAATCTCGTGCCTAATTAATCTTATTTCATTCCATCCTGTATTGATCAAGCATCTGCAGATAGCAATGCATAGCACAGAGAACTCAAAACTTTGTTCTTCCTGATCTAAAATCCACCAACTGTGTATTTTGACAAGGTATTGATTTTAACGAGCGCACAATACATGCCTCTTGTAAAATTCAACCCGATCAGTTAATCTATCCCAGATTCAGAAGTAGTTATTTTTGTTGTTACAGACTGCGCGATAAAGAATTACTTGTATATTGATTATACAATCTGTTCTTTTCCAGAGCGCCGGCATGGAAGACGACATCTCGATTTCTGCTGTAAGTATTTGTTTTGAACTTTTTTTTAAAAATCTCGAAATGTTTTATCAACCAGTGAAAACTCTAGTGATTCTGTTTCAATAAGCAATACATTAACCTGGTCAGTATTGTATGGTTCCGAAAATATATGTATATTTTTGGGTGGATAAAAGTATTATACGCTTTCCCGTCAGTTATATACGTTTATTTTCAGATCGATGCCGTCGAGAACTGGCATTCCTAGTTTAAGAAAGCAGACAGTTGCTTGAAACAGCAAGCTGTTACAATAAGTGAACTTACTCATCTAATCGATGTTTATTTTATATTGTGTATTAGCTATGCAATTAAAATTTGAAATTATGTATTTTTCTTTATATTTAATTTTTTTTAATATTGCTGTTAAAGGAATAAATACCTTGCAATATCAAAATAGTAGTGTAAAGGATTTGCATTTATCCTTCAGAAAATATAGGTATAAACCCCCTAGATTACATCTTGCAAACTAATATTTACATTTGCTGTACATGTAGTACAAAAATTGCTGCTTAAAAGGGTTTAATCTTTTAAAGCTTTTCATGTTGAATTTCTTCCCTATTGCAAATATTTATGTTAAAATATGTTGTAGGCTTTCTAGTTCGCTTTTTCCAAAATTAATTCTGAGAACAAAAGTGTCGAAAGTATTCTGAATTGCTGATATCATATCTTTCTGTTGTGCTGTAAAGGACTTTGTACATCATATCAGTCTATTTGTCCTTTGTGTATCTAATCCATGAATTCTTGTCTAGTTTTTAAAGCACTATTAGCAAAGCGAAGTATGCAGCTCTTGAATAAATTAGCCCGGTCGTAAATCTTAGATCAGGTGTAAACATAAAAAAAAAAAAAAAAAAAAAAAAAAAAAACATAAATTAGGATGTAATTGGGATTTTAAATTTATATACTTACAATAATGCTATAGCTAATTACAATTTTTATATTTTTTCTTACGTGTGCCTTAAACAGTCAAGGAGAAAACTATAGCAAAAAATAAAAGTAAAAAAGACGGCAAAGAAATATTCGTGCTGTCGTGGTGTAAGTGGTAGTGCGTACAGTTAGCAAGCCGCATTCAATCGTGTAAGTTCTGTTTTCGAATGCTGGCGATGATATAGTTGGCGAAAAGGGTACTTGTCTTGGCTCCCGAAAATTGTATCTTTACATTTGCACCCCAATAAAAATGTGATGATTCATTACCATCCCGGATTTGGTAGACTGGGTTTCGTGGCTCCTTAAGTTGTCCTTTAAATCGGAAAAAATATAAAAATTTATCACATTTTCTTGAGCGTGTTTTGGTGCTGTAAGTAGAAGCACATCTACCTACCATTGGATGATCTATGATTTGAATCCCGGCAGGGACACAGTTTTAGAACAGTTTAAGAAACGCTGCTTTACAGTATAATACATTTCTTCGTTTTACGTTTCCATTTTGAGGGTCCTCCAGCGGCCGAGCGGTAAAGACGCTGAACACTGGTAGTTCAGTCCGAGGTTCGAATCCCGCGAACGGGCCGGCTGCATGGGCGTTTTCGTGGTTTTCCCCATGTGTAACGTGTATACGAGCCAGTTTCCCTTAGAAAGTCCTCGACGAAGGCATCCCTCCCTTTAGGCAGATAGCCCTCGTGTGCTTTGCCATAATTGAATAATCCAATCCAATCCATTTTGAGGTCAGGTTAAAATGTCTATCTTTCACACAGATGAGAGAAAGAGAAAGTAGCTATAGTATATTCTGCATTACTTAATTTTGTAATATAGCACGTAATGCAATATAATATGCATTATACTTAATTAAATGTTGACAATGACTTCTAGAGAGTAATAGCCATTTTTATATGTATTATATGAAATCTTGTAAAAATAGTGTATGCTATTATCCCTGATTTCGCGTATACGCGGTAAGTCTTGGATTGTATTAACCGCGAATACAGAAACAGTATACTTGATTGAGGAATATAGTATTTACATATGCGCGGCCTTATGTTTGCTGTCTTTGTTTATGCTTAGTCGCAAATTCTATCTCTATACGCCATCAAAATAAAACGAAATACGCCAAATTAAGCTCAAAATGAAAGTGATGATATTCGCGTGCAAGCACCCTTGCACTTCAAAGTGCGTAACTATGCTAGTAATGAATTCTGGAGGGTAATAATTAATAAAATGCATTTCTTAATATTTATCCCATAGCTCTTTTACTTGTATATTACTAAATAATTGCACATTTTGATGACGTTCTCCTTTGGCAAATGAAAGGAAATCGAATATATTATTTTCTGTAGCTTGATCCGAAGCTGAAGCGGGAGTGGTTCGTGAAGGCGGCTCAAGGTGATTATCATGCTCTTGTCGGACTGCTGAAAAAGGAACCCAAACTGGCGGCCATCAAGGTTTGTTATCTCTTACTTGATCGGAGTTCAAATCAGTACCATAAAATGTTTTTGTCTTTTAAAACTAGCTGCTCGAATTTATCTGGAAACAATACGTACAGGGTGGTCATAATATAAAAAAACTTCCTTACTATAGAAACACCTATAGTGGCCTGTCCGCTCAACCATTCGGAATCAAATTTCAGATATTGTTATTTGAAGGTATGCGCTCGAGTGTGATGATTTAAAATAATAGAGCTGTCACGGTTACGGTTACAGTGAAAATAATTTCTAAATTTTCGAAAGGCAACACCTACTTTTTTCCTGTGCAAATTGACCAGCGCATTGAAAAAGCATAATTGGCATTCGATCGGCACATACATGACGAATCCGGCATGAAACATTTGCAACTCTGAAATTTCAGATAACCACAGAACGAGAAACCCATCGGAGTGAGGTCCGCACATCGCTATGGCCGCGAAACTGCAACGTTACGGGAGATAACTGTATTTTGAAACATTGCACTCCTTGAAAACTTCTAATTCCCGTTAAAGTTTTTTTCCCTATCTTTTCTTGTGTTATCATTGGTTGTTTACAATGCTGGTCTTAGGAAATATTTTACGCCGCCAACGTTTGTCATCCAGTGCGCTGATCAATTCGCGCCAGAAAAAAAGTGAATGTTGCCATTCGAAAATTTTAAAATGTTCTTATTGTAACCGTAACCATGAGAGTGCATTCCGTCAAATAACAGTATAGCAAATTTCATTTCAATTGGTTGGGTGGATAGGCCTCTAGAAGTTCGTATGTCTCGTAAGTTTTTTAATACCATCCTGTATTTAATTCTTATAGTAACATTCTTCGAAGTCTGCGATGTTAAAAAGATTTTTTCGCAGGAATTATGGAACGAACTTCTGCTCAGTTTTATTTAAAACATCTATTTCCATTCTGCTTTTGAAAAATAAATAAGTAAAAAAATTAATTTTTCTTTTTTGAATTGGTTTTCGGACAGCCTTGAATTTTAAAAGTGCATTAAAATCTGCTTTTCCAATCTGTGTTTAAAACGTGTTTTCGCATAATTATTTCTAAAAATAAAGGGAATTGTATTTTAAGAAATTTAATTGAATTATTTAAAATACATCGTTAAAATATTAAAAATACATTTTCCTGAATTCTGATAAAAAAATTTACTTAAAGTGCATATTATTTTCTGTAGCTTGTTTCTATGTATTTTTAGAAAGTTTATAATCGTTACTTTCTCTAAAACGGGAGAATTTTTTTAATTCGAAATTGATTTGATTTATTGCAGTTTTCTGAAATTCTGACACACCTTAAGTTTATAAAAATGTTGTCTATGTCTTTAATCGTAAATTATTTGAAAAACGTAACTTAAAATTTAGAATAACGAATTAAATTCATATTTTTGTCAGAAATCTTATCTATATATATATAAAGAAGAAAGTCTATTGGTTTGTCTTCTAATAACTCTGTCACTACTATAGCTATCGTCACAAAACTTTCTACAATTCTTTTCTGGGTTCAAAAAAAGGTCAACGTCCACTTAAAAAAAAAAAAAAAAAAAAAAAGAAAGAAAAGAAAAAAGCTAAAATCAGATATATTAATTAAAAACTCGGGAAAACGATAATTTTCGCCCTCATTTTTCCGAGTGGCAACAGTCTTGCGAACTGGAGATGAAAAATCTGCTTTATTTTGAAAATTGTTGCCACTGACAGCTTTCAAATCCTAGAGTTTGTTAATAAAAAATTTCGAAGTTTTACGATGAAATAAAAATAGCATCGCCAAAGATTAAATGCATTATTTTCTATTCCAAAAATTCATGGGAAGCCATTACAACTATTCCCATCTTCGTACGACTTTAATTAGCGGAGATATTAATTAAAAACTCCGAAAACATTAATTTTCGCAGTTAATTTTCCGAGTGGCAACAGTCTCACGCGTTGAAGATAAAATTGCTTTATTTCGGAAAGTGTTGCTACTGCTCGCTTTAAAATCGTAGAGTTTGGTAATCAAAAATTTATGAAGTTTTACAAAATCTATATATATATATATATATATATATATAAAGAAGAATGCCTGTGGGATTGATTGTGCATTTGTTTGTTTGTTCGCGTTGTTGATTTCTGATGAATTTTTTGCCACATTTAATCGACTAAAATTGAATTTAGGGGAAATATTGGATGGAACTTGAGCTTTTACGACCATTTGATTAGAAAAACGAAAATCTTTAAAAACTGAATGCCGTTATTACTAATATTAATAAAATGATAGAGAGAATTAATTAATTTTTCTACCGAAATTTTTTATGTAGTTTCCATATCGCATCAGAGTGAAAAATGTAGAGAAGGATTACAGCGGTATCGTTCTCTGTTGTTAGATGCATTACTCTCAATGTAACTTAGCTGACATCGGCTACTTCCGCTAGTTGTAACTAAATCAACGGAAAATTAAGAACATGTAAGTTAACAGGAAGCTTAATTTAATTTGCCCGAGAACGAAGAGCAAAGCTACCTGTATTTCAGATATAAGGCGACTTGATTTTTTAAAAATATTTTCACTTACCTAATAATGTTTTTTATCTCTTTGCGCACAAAGCCTAATTACCTGATATTAAGTTTAAAATATCTGGCTGCTGTAAAAAATGCTTGCCACATCTTATCTTAGTAAATGTTTAATATTGTAGTAAACTAAACTGAATTTACAATCCAAAAAGCACATTAACTCATTTCTTTCTCTTTCTGGAGCATTACATGAAAATTCTACTCATTATGTGTATATTTCACCCATACTCTGAAGATGAGATTCCTATGTTGGCATCGGATGACTATAGAATGAATGTTTTCGTGCCATATACATGTCGAGCGCATCCGAGAACGAAAATTAATTCTCATGTGTTGCGATGTCTGAGTTCGCATGCGAGATCCGTGAGATTTGTTGGTTCTGTTAATAGGAAATTTGTGTCTGGGACAGAAATATCTTTTGTCCGCGGAACTCCCAGAAAACGGCGCGTGATGAGTGTGCGCCCGGACGACCTCTCATTTGTCACTGTCTGCCTCTGCGCATTCCGGTAGCGCTGTTCCGAACCCACCTCCCCGACCGCTGCCACAAGACTGAAATATGTGCTTCTAACCTCCTCCACGAGGAGCGATCATCGCCGTCTCATAATGAAAATTCAGTCATTCGATACTCTGTGGTGAGATTAAAAATTCCGCATGTCTATTGGTTGACGTTCCCCGGCTCTCGGGTGGCATTTCCGTGGACATTACTAGATGTATCTTTGCACAACTTTCCCCACCCTCGTTTCGTTGATCCAATTTATTAAGTACATTATTGTTCATTGAGAAAAAAATGAAAAGGAGTTGAAACGGATGATAAATTTCAGCCGTCAAGTTTCTCAAAATAACGTCCTCTCCCAGAATGTCTGCTTTCTCTGGAAGGTAAACGAGCAAGTTTAGATAGAGAGCTTGGAAATTGCAATACCGCAAACATTTAGGAAATATTTTACTGCTTTTTAAAGTTATTTGTTCTAAAAACTTTTTAGCAGTATTATTTAGTTTCACTGTATCAAAATCAAACTTATTGATTTGATTTCAGCAGAGTTAAACTCCATGCTGATATGGATCGTGTATAACTGATATACTTCAAAAGATAGAGATGGGGGATTTTCCGGTCTTAAATTTGTCATCAAAACGTTGAGGCCAATTGCCATGCGTTCTATTGATCCGTCTACGTTAAATGAATCGCGCAGTTGAACACTATGACTTAGTTTCCAGATCAGGCTTCTTAAATCATGCGATTTTGCTTCATGTAACATTTTTATTTGGAACTGTGGTTAAAAATGTGTTCTTGCCACAATTGTGTAATGACTGCTGACTGCGTGATCTTCCAATTGGCTAGAATATGCTGGCCTAACTAAAGTTTTGAATGTCATCTTAACGTTGTTCGGATACTTAAAGGAAGTTACACAGAATACATATAAATAAGCCTCGGACAATTTGTCTTTTTTTATATGTTGCTTGTAACTTTATTCTTGTAAATTTGAGAAATGTAGTCATTTAAATTAATGAACCTGTGCATCAGAAGTTCGATAATCTTGCATGATAGGAACATTTGTGCGGTGCCAGATTATAAGAATAAAACTGTGCAGTGCCATCCAGTTATTGATTGTTTTAGGAATAAGTTGTCAAAAACTGTATATACTATAATTCTGCAAGCATATTTAAAGAATCGAACTTATTAGTAAATAAATTTATGCATAGTGTAATTACATTTAATCCGTTTTGCCATTACAATCAGTATCATAGCCAGTGCAAAAGTGTTTTTACTTCCTTGTACGAAGTAAAAAGGAAGTATTGTAATCGCGAAAAGTTTCAGGCAGCATATTTCAACGAAAATATCCATTTTGACCGCTATCGAATGCAATTTAACGATGTTTTTGCGTGATATCTGTACGCAAGGACAGAATAAAGACTCTTTTCCTCCAAAAAAATTATTAAAACTGCTTTAAAATGAATTCTGAAGAGAATTTTTCGTGGCGTCTGTACGAACGTATGTACGTACGTACGTATCTCGCATAACTCAAAAACGAGTAGCCTCAGAACATTGAAATTTTGTATATAGGACTGCTATAACATGTAGATGTGCACCTCGTATTTTGGTTGCAATCGGCGCCGCACCAAACGTATATAAATAATTTATATTTAAACAAATTTAAATTCTAAACAATACGTATAAAAGTAAAAAAGTAGAAAAGCAAATTTAAATTCTAAAAAAAAAAAAAAAAAGGAAAAAAAAGCCAAAATAATTTAAAATAATTTAAAAAATATGCAAACATGTAAAAGATTTAATTCTCGAACTAATCTACAATATCATTTAAATTCAGAAGCATAAGTAAATCAGTGTAAATCTATCCAATGAAAATAAATCTACTTGTTTAAATTTAAATTTCATTCCTTGCAGCAATGGCGCAAAGAATATTTAATTAAATATGTAGTTAAATTTAATTT